TGTCTTTCGACAGTCAACTGTTTCGAATGTTCGAGCAAACACTTATAAATAAAATAAAAGAAATAGTTTTTAGAAGCTTCGCTTCTAAAGAAGAACAATTTGAGTTCGTCGTCAGTCTTTTGTTTATAAAAATTTGAAAATGTGAATATTTAGTACGGGATCATAACACCTCCCCCCTTAAGACGGAAAACAATTATTTTGAAAAAAGAATTTGTTTTCTCCTCTTGTTCGGATTTGACAGTTTCCTATGTCGGGTTCTGAATGGTTCCGTCCAGGTTGAGACTCCTTGAGTAGTAGTAGGTGCCATGTCTTCTGTATGGTAGACTGTTGTATCTCTTCACATTGACTTCTTATCAGGAACATAATTTTAAGCTTTATAGCTGCAAGTAGTAGAACTTTTCCTAGGCAATACTCGTTAGTGAACATTGTTTCATAAAGAGTAAGGATAAAAGAATAAAATCAAAAGACATGAAATTCGAAACAAAATTGACATAAGTTCTGAAAAATACAAGAATTTTATATAGGGTACATAGAAAAGAATAAATGGATTAATAATAAAATAAATGATGATTAGCTATATGGGAAAAATAAAAGGATTAAATTATTATTATTTTGGATTTCTCTCTTTAGATCAACTACTCAGAACACGGTTTTGTGATAAGTAACTTCCTTGTTACGGATTTTTAATAAAACGTTTTTGCCAGATTTTTTCTTGACCTCGTATGGATCCTTAAATTCAGGACTAAGTTTTTCATTGAGATTTCCTCTTGCTAATTCTTGACTGGTTTGAATCTTCTCTTTTTCATTAGACGATAGGTGAACTTTACTTAGTAAAAATAGCTTTACCTCAGGAATACTCTCTTCGTGAAAATCGGTTGACATAAGAATGGATGCTTTCTTCCTAGATTTCTTGGTACTGGAATTCCATTTCCGCTTTTTAGTATGCTTCCCAAAATTATGCTTGTGAATTTTTTTAGTAGCTCCTATATTTTTATTTGAAATTTTTGTTTCCTTTTGAATTTCAGCTTTAGGATGATTTTTAGGTTTTGAATTCTGTATGGATGATCTTTCTTCTTTTACTTTTAGACCTTTTTTCTTATTTTTATTTTTAGGAAGTAATGGTGCTTCTTTAGCCTTTTTCTTAGATAAATTTGTAGAGGGTGCTTCTTTAGCCTTTCTCTTAGATAAATTTGTAGAGGGTGCTTCTTTAGCCTTTCTCTTAGATAAATTTGTAGAGGGTGCTTCTTTAGCCTTTCTCTTAGATAAATTTGTAGAGGGTGCTTCTTTAGCCTTTCTCTTAGATAAATTTGTAGAGGGTGCTTTTTCCTCTTGAGCAGGAATTGATCCTGGTAAAGAATCTGTTTTCTCTTCAACTTCAAGTTTGGATTCTGGTAAAGGATCTGTTTTCTCTTTAACTTCAAGTTTGGATTCTGGTAAAGGATCTGTTTTCTCTTCAACTTCAAGTTTGGATTCTGGTAAAGGATCTGTTTTCTCTTCAACTTCAAGTTTGGATTCTGGTAAAGGATCTGTTTTCTCTTTAACTTCAAGTTTGGATTCTGGTAAAGGATCTGTTTTCTCTTCAACTTCAAGTTTGGATTCTGGTAAAGGATCTGTTTTCTCTTTAACTTCAAGTTTGGATTCTGTAATTTCTAAAATTTTAAGTTTTTCCTTCAATTTTATTGTGTTATCTTCACAGTGGATACATGTTGATTTTTGTCTGCGATTAATCAATTCTTTTATCAGTTGACTATGGGGTTTCTTGTCTTGGTATAATTCTATTAATTTCATTTTTACGTCATCCCAATTATCAAAATCGTACAAAGAAATTCGAATCTTGGCATTACCAGTGATTCTGGAGTAGATGAATCTGAAGAGTGGATACTTATTCTATTCAGAGGACAATTCGATAGCATTATCACAATCAGAGATAAATGCATTAAGTTGGTTCCTTTCTCCGGAAAAGAAATTAGGAACTAGACTACACAAGAAATCAAGGGGTATTTGGGATGGGTTGAAAACAGGTTGATCAAGTTTAGGCATTGTTCACAAAATGAGTTACCTATTACTACTACTTACAATATAAAGAAATTCTGATAAAGAGTTAAAACCCACCAACATGAAACGAATTACTTAAGAATTCTCCGGTTTCTTGTCGTTCAGAATGATCCTTCATCGACTGCGCCAAAATTTTAATATGTTATATTCGGTTCGTTCTTTATTTTTGTAAGTAATGAACAAGCACTTAAAACTATCACAAAACTAATATTAATAAACAAGAACTTATTACAGCTAGACTAAAAATCAAATGAACCAACGCCAAGCTGTGTAGCTTGCCTATATTACTTTTGTCTTTCGACAGTCAACTGTTTCGAATGTTCGAGCAAACACTTATAAATAAAATAAAAGAAATAGTTTTTAGAAGCTTCGCTTCTAAAGAAGAACAATTTGAGTTCGTCGTCAGTCTTTTGTTTATAAAAATTTGAAAATGTGAATATTTAGTACGGGATCATAACAATATATATGTGAAAAAGGAAAGGAAAGGAAAGGAAAGAAAGATGATCTGATGAAGAAGTTTTTTTTTTTTTTTTACAAGGAGAGATAGGTAATGAAAAAGAAAATTGAAAAATCGTTTATACTTCTTAAAAAAGTGGGAGAAAAAGAAAAAGAAGAAGGAGGAGAAGTAAAGAAAAATAAGAAGAAGGAGGACGAGGAGGAAAGGAAAAGAAGAAGAAGGAGTAGGAGGAGGAAAGGAAAAGAAGAAGGAGGAAGAGGAGAAAAAAATCAAAAGTTTAAAACCGAAGAAAAATAAATTGAAAATGAAAAAAAAAAAGAAGAATAGGAAAATCCGCTTCGTGAAAAAAGAAAAAAAAGATGAAACAAAATTAAAAATAAAGTCAATCAAAAAACAAAAGAGGCGGCGGTGGCGGTGGTGATGGCGATGGTGGCGGTGGCGGTGGAAAAGGAAAAAATAAAAATTTTTACGAATCCGATACATGACGAGTCCGACCCTTAAAAAGTCGTGTCTTTAATTTATTACGACGCCAGTTACATAAAAAAAAGCAGAAGACGCATTTTAAATAATTAATTCCGATGAGAACGAAAAAAAAAGCATCGTTTTAAAAATATAACAAAAAAAACTGTTTCCGTCGTGTAAGAAGACGAAGAAGGCAAAAAATAAAAATAAAAAAATTTTTTTTTTTTTACATATGCGTAACTACTTCCGTTTATTATTATTATTATTATTTTTTAACTTAAAAACAAAAAAGTGTCGTTAGAAAACATGTCGTACGTA